GCGCTCGAGCGTATCTCTGATAAAATGGCAGCTGCAAATGCATTCTTTGCATGCTCTCTGTGCGGCTGCGCCATGTATCTCTAAGACAGATTGTGTCACTTCTGGCTCTGGAGATAAGATTCATTTGCTGACAACTACTGAATTTTCAGTGCTCCGCCGCAGGCCTGCCTTGGGGGAATGTTCCCCTTTTAAATCAGATTTTATTGCATCTTACATGGCGTCCCACGCATACATTAGTTAAGTCATCTTGCCCAATGATGCCTATCAGGCATGCGCTGTTAAATTAAATGGGCAGTCACTTTCTCAGAGCTTTTTCTCACTTCAGGGTTGGCAAGGCTATGACAGTATTTTTACTTCTCTTGGTTTTTGACAATGGATAGTGGCTAATTGGATTAACCTGATCGATCAAGGAGCCGGATGATTGAGACTTCTGTCATGGTGACATTCTGAGAGGCAGAGCAAAAGATTTTCAAAATAAAAGATGTTTTTCTTTGAGAACAATTGGCTACCAGTATGTCATGACCCATACCTGGAAATAAGATAATCCGTTCTGGTCCTGTTGCACAGGAAGCAGGGGCATTTGATATCGCAATCTTTGTCATTGGTTTTTTAATGAGGCGCTGTTTAGGGGACTTGTACTAGAGTAATATGTAGACGGTTAGGTAGTTGCATTTCTCGTCGTCTATGAGCGGGGCAATTTTAGCGTCGTGCATTCACCGCCCAGGTTTGGCCAATTAGGGTCTGTTCGGTGACTAATAATAATAATATCCATTCAACCACTGAGGCAGAAGTCTTTCATCAACTAAATATTCTATTCTTGAATTCTATACTGCAAGCATATGCAATGCAGTGGTTGAACAGAAATTATTAAAGAAATACTCTTTTAATGAATTATCTACTTGATTTCAATAGCAAAATCTGTGAAGCAGAAGAATAGAATTGAAATGATGCTGTGAAAATTAACTTTCTGAATCAACATATTAACTTTGAACTGTTTAAACTCTACATCTCACATTTTATATCTTCACATTACCATGACTACTGCACCCACTTGCACCAACTTGACAATAACCTCATGTGTTTCAATATTGTATAAGAAAGCTATAACAATCATAGATAGAATTTTACATCTATCACTATATCAATTATATCAATCACCTCTGCAAATATTATGAATTGAATCTCTCATATAAATATGAAACAATCAAGAATATTTGATCTCTTTAAATGAAAAGTTACTGATTGAATCATTGTAATGTGACGGCGCCGAGGCGGTTGCTACTCGGCAGCGGCACAGAGGAGGATGGTATATAATGGGAAGCCTTATGGGTGGGCTTGATTATCTCGCTTGAACCGCGAACTCGTAGAATACTATACAAATACTGAACTACCAGAGGTACTCGGCACACTATGAATATTGTATGAGGACAGTGGTAACTCTGGTATCTTATTGTCAAAAGATAAAAGACGAATCGCTGGCTCCTGGAATAGAGAGCCAGCATCTAGCTATTCTATATAGACAACGGGCAGCCATCCTCCCCTCACTCTATAAGCGAGGGTAGCCGAAGCAACTCCGCAGTGGCGCTGCATTGATCTGCCAGAAGGAATCCAGACCCCGTATAGAAACAGGATTCTCATATCTCATCAATCGGATCCTCTTCTATTGCATCCGAATGATGTCATAGGGTGGTTGGAAACCGGTTCGGACACCTGCGTGACGTTATGGGATAGATGGGATTATCTGAGGGGAAGCGATGGGCCGTGTGGAGCCGTCACGGGGCCTTGGCACAACCAAGGGTGTGACAATGCCCTCCCCTTTAAAGGCATAGTCCCGATGCCTCAAGATTACCGGATTGGGAATTATCTTTGTTGTGTAGCAACGGTTGCCAACCGCTTTGGCAGCGCGCGCGCTGCGCGGCATAAAGGAATGGGTGAGTCTTATTCGACGTGATTCTTCTGCTGAATGCGCAGTCCTTCTTCTTCTTCCCATCACTGTCATATCCAAACGTTCAGTAAGTGGATTATCGATTTGAAATGTGGAAACATGGCTAACAAGGGGCTTGCAGATCTTCGTCTTTGTTCCTGTCCTGTGTATGGAATTTCTTGCAAAAGTAGTGCATGGGAACGTCGTCCTTGGAAGACAGTAAGGGGGCTTATTCTGATGTTTTCTAGTGGGTAAAAAACGTCTACGTGGTGCAGCTGCGGCCTCTGTCGCGGCCAAAAGGGCCAGGTTGGAGGCGGAGGCGGAGACACCTAGCAGCTGTGGGGGTTCTGCTCCTCCCCCCCTGCCGCTGTCACACCGCCCCCCCCCGCCAATCAACAGGGCGATGTATGACCCCGCATGGTCGTTCGGAGAGGACCTCAGGGAGAGCTTGGTTCCGGGGACAGCGGCTCAAATGAGTCCAGTCCGTAGTTCCCCTCTTGCACAACGCCCGAGCCCTGCTCACTGCGCCTGTGGGTCGGGTCCTCCCGGTTCCATTTGTTTCTCCTTGTGGGGAAACCCCGGTGATGATTCTGGTTGGCCGCACTACATGCCTATACTGCCTCAAAATGCTTCGAGAAACGTGGATACACTGCATCCTCCCCCCTCCTCATCTGCTCTGAATGCCGTACGCGATAAAGAACCAACACCAGTCTCATTGCTCTGCTGTCCCCTCCTGTAACTGCTCCTCTTCCAGCTCTGATGAGGATCATCTGTGGCTACTTACTACACGGCCACAATATGCGGTCCCCAAATCCG